TTTGAGAAGTGTTTCAACCGGCCGAACTTGCAATGTGATCTTCACCAGGTCATTAGTAAATCGTTCCGTACTTGAATACGATGGGAGTGAGGAGGCTTTGTTAACAGGCAAAGCACTCAAATACACACTTTTATCACGCAAGTGCATATCTCTTCAGAGATGTGAGGAAAATGTGCAGCTGCCTCAGGGTGACCTACTGCATTCCATATAATCTTGGATTCCACCATCATGCACCAAGTTAGACTTACAGAACAGAAAGATGGATCGCAAAGAGCAGTTGTTAAAAATTATTACAAATTGTTGATCCTTTTACCCATACAGTGTTTCCAATTTCATAATTGTAAGTGATTTTATTTTGATATGTTTGACAAAGTAGTGACCACCACAAATATCTTCTATCGAGGAACGCTTTTACCAGCCATAAAATGACATTTGTTGGAAGGTCCAACTGGATCTATGCATTTGATCATCCTGTAAATTATAAAAACTTGGAACACCCTGCATCTCCATGTATTTCCCGTCATGGTTCTATGTAGGATGCGATGAGTAGTTGAGAACTGTAGACATGATTGTTTGGCAGTTGAAGGCCAAATATCAATTTGGTCTGGCATCTACTCCGTTAAGCTTGCGTTAGCAAGGTAAACAATTAGCGTGCGCATTTGATCACTCACTCTGTGTCTCATTCATCCACTCATCTACCCAAGAACCTATTCACTTTACTCCTTTGGTTTTGATCGCTGTAATTAAAGATGTTATACGGTAGGCCAAATGCAAAATCCGTGCACAAGAAATGCACACTTTTGTCCTTAAAGCTGTTGCTCTGCAAGGACTCTTGCTAATGGACAGTTCGGCTTGTTCGATGCCAGACTCACTTAGTTACGCATCACGCCTTCGAACCTCGCATTGGGTGGTATGCTTAGAGCCTCTACTATGCACCAACAAAAATTCATCCATTTAATGGAGGTGGGTTATTTTTCCTTCTTATTAGTGCCTCATCCAACCAAGTGCGTCTTAAGCGCTCCAAATTATTGTTATCCGTTCTGAGCATATTTTTGTAGGGAATAAACTTCGCTTATTTTACCGGACAAGTTGCTAAAGGAAGTTTCTCCACTTAGAGTGCTGACATTCCTCCCACATGCCAAATTGGTACCCAAAAAGGGGCCGTTTATAACTTTGAAGGAAAATGTAACCTACAGTTGAGCACTTTAGGTGGTTATGCTGGTGATTGACGCATGTGCAATTCATGTAAAGATTCTTCCTTCAGTAATTTATCAAAATAAATCAAAATATTATGCTTACAATCTAAGAGTGGCAAAGGAAGGCAGCATTGACGGATATTTTGAGACGTTTTTAAATGTGTTTGCTTGCGTGGCGAACGAAATCGCACTTTTACATTGTTGCCACAATTTGTAAGGCAAATTAGACTAATCACGTACCGCAGCAAAACGGCTGCATTTCTTACTGCCAAGTCCTGTTTCATCCATGTTCTTTGGGCGGCGTTCAATATTATTTTAGTCCGAGGGCTTTGCATTCGTCACCCACTTAGCTTGGCCAATTTGAAAGACTTTATTTCGCCCATGGACAAGGGCTCTGCGGACGGAATACATCGTCCACACTGTTGATTTCACACGTTGAGGGAGGCAAGCTGCTAATTCTACAAACACAACTTTATGATGTTTGTTTTGGCCTATTCCAGCATAAAACCAACATTTTGCTTAGCTGTATGTTGTGCATAATAGGATTAACAATCCGACCATTTACGCAAGCAGATTACTACTTATAGCACCTCTATTTTCCTAAAGTCGAAAAGTCGTAGTAATGGGGCAGAAAACGATTTGTCGAGGTATAGATTGACTGCGAGTCTACGAACAGGGTCCGCAGTTCATGCCGGCTAGAGAAAATACGATGTTGAAGCCTGGAGTGCCCACGAAATGAAGTTACATTAACTAGTTACCTGGATAACGGATTTTAAATTTGATCTATCGCACATATTCAGACTTCCTGCAGAAAATCTACCGAATTTCATATCCCTGATTTCATAAATTTGTTACGCGTTTTAACTTTACACCTGGTTCCCATGTCTGTGGCTTGCCGAACGGGTAATTGAATCTGTTATTTTCAGAGAGGTAGTTCAGGCACTTTCAATCGTTTCGATTCATGCATAAATAGCGACGACGACTCTACAGATGA